TCATAATAAATCTACTAAACACATATATATGGTTAAATGGATTCGGGGCATACACTGTTCTTTTGCCATTGTTTATCTGTTCATCTTTTTTTTTATGTTCATCTTTTATGGGTAAAATTCATGTTTCAATAACTTCATAGGAATTATCCTCCCAGTTCTTGCATATTTAACAATGTCTGCATCTTGGTACTTAAGAGACTTTTTGGAGGCACACAGTTGCCTATGATACTGAGCCTTCACATTTAATAACCAATTGCCTCTTCCTTTATTTTGGTCATCTTAAAATCTTTCAATAAAGTGGTAAAAATCTTACAAATTCTTTTGTAACTTTTATTGTGAACAGAGTATTTTTCAAAAATGTTCAGATTATTGCTGGTACCTAGCACTTAACTGAGGTTGTGCATTGACCAAGTATCCAGAGATCCTACTGACTCTTATTCTACATGGTTGTGGATTCTTCCTGTCTTTCCACATAGGCAATCATATCATCTGCAAATAAGAACAATTCTGTTTCTCTGTTTCCAATTTGCAATGTAAATCCTTCAGTTTTTATTATTGGCATGCTGGTTAAGACTTCCAGCAGAATGTAGCAGAAACAGTGGCAGCAGACATGTGTACTTCATTGCTGAACAAGTAGAAAAAGTCTTTAACATTTCATTATTAAAAATGATGTTAGCTGTAACGTTTTACTAGCTAATGTCTATTAAGTTAAAGATATATTTACACCCGTTTTGCTAAGCACTTTTTTCTTTTTCTTTTAATTTTTTATTATGAAATACACATTTTTTAGAATTAGTTTCAGCTGTACAACACAGGGCAAGTTATACTTTTTACCCCTCAAAGTGACAACCCCCCTCCCCAATCCGCTGCCCCACTTCCCCCCAATATCATACATATCTATTACAATTCCCTTGACTCCACTCCCACACTATACTCCATGTCCCATGACCATATATATATATATATATATATATATATATATATATATATATATATTCACTTATAGTTGACAGCTAAGCACTTTTTTCATATATAACTGTTGGTTTTATCTGCATTTTGAGTGCCAGGATTCTTGCAATGTTATTCCTTTTAAATATATTTTTATTGATGTAAAAATTCACATAATATAAAATTAACCATTTCAAAGTATACAATTCATTGACATTCACAATGTTACCCAAACACTACCTCTATCAAGTTCCAAAACATTTTCATCATTCGAAAAGAAAACCCCATAAACCACGAATCCATCAGTCTCCATTCTCCCTTCTTCCGGGGCTCTAGTAAACACCAATTTGCTTTATGTCTCTAAATTCTACATATTTCATATAAATAGAAATACAATATGTGGGTTTTCGTGTCTGGCTTCTTTCACTTAGCATGTTTCTGAGGTGCATTCATGTTATAACATGTATCAATGCTTCACTTATGAGATTAATATTCCATTACATATGTGTGTGTATGTATATATGTATACACATGGCACAATTTGTTTACCTATTTCTCCACTGATAGGAATTTGGGTTGTTTCCACCTTTTGGTTATTGTGAATAGTGTTGCTATGAACATTCATGTACAAGTATTTAAGTACCTGTTTTCAATTCTGTTGGGTATATACCTAGGAGTGGAATTCCTGTGTCATATGGTAGTTCTATGTTTAGCTTTTTAGAAGAATCATAGCAACTGAACCATTTTACATTCCAGCAATGTTCAACAGTTCCCATTTCTTCAAGGTGATTCTTTTTTTTTTTTTTAAGATTTTATTGGAGAATTGGGGAAGGGGAACAGCCAAGTTGTTGTCCTCCAATCTTAGTTGTGGAGGGCGCAGCTATCTTGGCTCCAAGTTCAGTCACCATCCGGCCAGCCATTGGCAGCTTGCAGCCACTCAGCTCAAGGTGCCATCTTCAATCTTAATTGTGGGTGGGCGTAGCCCACCATCCCATGCAGGAGTGGAACCAGCAACCTTGTTGTTAGGAGCACGTGTTCTCACCAGCTGAACCATCCTGCCACCTGTTGGCAGCTCAGCGGCAACTCAGCTCAGGAGCAGCTCACTGGCCCATGTGGGAATTGAACCAGTGACCCTGTTGCTCAGAGCTTGTGCTCTTAACCAACTGAGCCACTCGGCCGGCCCCCAAGGTGATTCTTAATTCTAGTAAAATATGAGGCATTTTAGGAAATGTAAGAGAGAAAGTTTATAGTGCCTACGGACATGTAATCATAATAAACAGAGTTCTTGTGTAACATAGCACTTGAAATATATACACGTGATCTCACCATATGTAACCCCAAGTGTTTCTTTCCCCTTCGGTTGTTTGTTTTTTAGTATTTCATGTAAATTTTTTATAACCTTTGGATATTTAGGTACTAAGGCTTTAGAAAAACATAGGCTTCAAGTAGTGATGGATCTTCACAGCTGGCAGAAATATTACAAATGGCAATAAAAATAAGGACAGCAAACTTATGTGGTATAATTTCTTAACTTCTTAATAATTACTCAATTTACTTATTACAAGATATTTGATTTACAAGGAAGAACATGACTATTTATACTAGATTACTCATTATTCTAGTATTAAACCCTAAACATTATGTTCCTTCATGCGATTCCAAAAAAGTAATAAAGTTGAATACATAAAGTCCACATTATGTAGTACAGCCCACAACAAAACCCCTACAAACCTTTGTCACTATTCAACTGATCCTTATTATGTTCTGATTTTTTCATATATTCAAACGGTACTGCATTTGCACAGTGAAAATATCTAATATTTGTAGAATATTCTGTAATCCTTTCTACAATTATATTAAACCCTTAAAAAATTATTTCATCTTATATAGCTTCTAAGTTTATTTACTCAAATCTAAAATGCCATCAAACAGAAAAGTCCTGACAATTAAATGAAATTTCATCAACTGTAACATGCATCAAAATTTAATATATGGTCAGGTACGCAGAAATAAATTCATGTACTACAAAAATGTAATTCATCACTGATGCTTTTGTCACATTCATTGCATTCATAGAATCTCTGTGAAGCAAATTCAATTTTTAAGAGCTTATACTGCTTAATGATAACCAATCCTCCACAGAAAGCATTTTCAGTGGCTATAATCACAGTATTTCTGTAATGTACGTATTTGCTGGAATAGAATTATGATTCCTTAAGGATTTTATACCTTTATTGAATGTAGAAATTATTTTGTCTGGGAACAGGGTCTCTCTGCTATGTGACTTAGTGGGCAACTAAGGAGCTCTGAATTATAAATACCGTATTTGCCGGCGTATAAGACGACTGGGCGTATAAGACGACCCCCTAACATTTCCACTC